AACGTGATTACTTTTAAAAGGAGTAATCAGTCATTTGATTACATTGTCAGAGTAAATTGCCCAACACTGAACAGGGGGTGTGCAATTTCTGGGCCTCTAAATGGAATCTGAAAAAAATATGATGATTTCCAAACAGGTTTCCGAAACATTTCTTCTTCCACCTATCTGTAATTTTTCAGGTAGTTCATCCTGTCCCAAACTGACCCACCACTGGCTCAGCCACATATTACCATTCAAAAGTTTGGGGTCAGTACGATTTATTTTTTATTATTGAAAGAAATTAATACTTTCATCTAGCAAGGATGCATAACATTTTTAATTGATCAAAAGTGACAGTAAAGACATTTGTAATGGTAAAAAAACCCAGTTTTAAATAAATGCAGTTTTTTTTTTTATGTAACCACTGTAAAGAATCCTAAAAAAACATCACAGCTTTCACAAAAATAGTAAGCATCACAGCTGTTTTCAGCATTGATAATACAACACATTTAAATATATATTAAAATAAAACACAGTTTGTATAGTAATAAAATCATTAAATAATAAATGGTAATATTTAACTTTTTTTTGTATTTTTGATCAAATAAATGCAGTTTTGTTGAGCATAAGATACATGTTTCAAAAGCATTGAAAAATCATACTCTTCAAACTTAAATAATAGTGTAAGTTGACATAAAGCTTCAGTTAATGCAAACTGACTGTATTTGCTTTTGAGAAGAGCAGGAAGAGGGCTTTTGATAGTGCTGAGTGATATTTAATTAATTTTAGATCACTGCTTAACTGTTTCTATGGTTGTAGTATGAATGCATGATAAATTTAACTTTAGTGAAGTGGGCTATTTTTGTATGCGTCCTTGCTTTGTGTAGCATATATAATGTACTTTCAAGGCCTCATGTATTTACTGTGTAATCAGATAAACTGGCTTTTTTTTAAATTGGCGAGTTTGCTGTTCTTTTTGCCGACTCTTTCATCATGGCAAGCATGGTTTACCTGCTGAACAGGTAGGCGAATTTAAGAAGATTAGCTCGTGAATATTAATTAATGTTGATGCTGCTTAATCTTAGCTGTGATCTGTCTCGTGATCTATTTAAAATATTAACGAGTCAAACGTTAGCTCCGGGTCCCAAGGAGGCTTATCCTCACAAAATCTCAATCTTATCATGCTGAAATTAATATTTGGCAAAGTTTCACCTCAAAACAGTTCCTCAATATGCCACAGATGTGCAAGTAATTATAAATCACTGGTCTTGTAATGCACATGCGAGGAACAGATTAGCTGTAAACCTGTGGGCAAATTCAAAACCATTTGTTCACTTGTTTTGACAAAGCCCCGTAATGCAGCATAGTCCAAATCAAGCTTTTAATTTGGTTACACACCCACCACAAAGAAAAATAAAGGAATGGGAATGGAATTCCGTGCAACCCAGATCCAAGCAGCTGTTATGTTTACATGGCAACTTGATACACAAATACAGCCTGG